ATCGTTTTTGCATCAGCCTTGAAAAGGCCAGCTGGGAAGTGAGGAAAGACAGCTTTGGTGTATCTCCTGCAAAATGGATGGGAGGCCACTCTCCGCGGTCTTTTGCTGCCAGGCTGGAAGGATGGAGGAAGACAGCTGTGCAGGGCTGATGTCACCTCTGGCGCTTTCCAAGTTGTTCATTAACGAGCTGGGAGATGGAGCGGAGAACATCTGAATTACTTTTGCAGGTGAGGTTGAGCAGAGAGGGATGGTGGCTGTGGAGAATTGGAACGTAAAGTGAACTGAGCTGAGTCTAGGATTTTTTTGTCTACCTAGTTGCTGTTTAATGAGGATAGGCACTAGGTTTCTCACTGGGGCAAGACTAGCAGCTACAGTGGTGCTGGACAGCTGGGGAGTTGGGGAGGCGACAGTTCTGCCAGGAAAGCTGTGCCGATCCTGAGGGCACAAGTTGGCTCTGAGTCGCCCTGTCCCACTGTGCAATTGAAGGCTCACATTTATCAGCGTAAAGAGGAGCTCCACTGGCATAAAACAGCCAGATCCATCCTCTTTCCTCTGAGAACTACTGAAAAAGGGATAACACGGCCTTTGAGGGGGACGTAATGTTTAGATTCAGCTGGAGAAGGATGAAAAGGGATGCAGCAAGAAACATCCAGGTTAGGTCGAGTGGACCGGCAGGGATAGCCCTGCCTGGGGAAGCTGAAACTACCCTAGCAGAGTTGGTCATCCTGCCTCGGAGACGCGCTGGGGTTGGATGATTTCCGAATCCAGTCCTGTTCTGGGATTCTCCAAAGGAGCATGCCTCAGGACTAAGCAACAACCTCTCCTTCTCTCTGCCTAAGGCAGTGGGTTGGAAGTGCGGGTAGAATTTCAAAAGCCTTGCTCATGCAATCTGAAAAATGGCTGTAGAAACTGCTCTTTCACTCAGTTTATCGGCTCACTGGATAGATTGGAGCAGACTTACTATGATAAAAATAGCTGTTTCCTGCTGCATGTTATCACTAGCAGAACCAAAAAGATCAAGTATTCGACCTCATTCCAAAACTGTCACCTAGGAATCCATGGGAGCTCTTTAGTCCCTGTGAAAAAGATCCTAGGAGTGTAAGCAGCAGGCACTAGAGAAGTATGGCCCATGGCTTATGTGCATATAATACTTAAGATCTGGATGAAAAGCAATAACACATGCCCCTTTCTCCCAGTGTCTCCCACTGGAAGGATGCCATTTCAAGCCACTAAGCTCTTCCTTAGCACTGGCAAGTCACCAACATACTCCCACGCGAGTGCGAGTATGGATACTCCCAGCTCATCAGCATGAGATTGCTGCAGTACCCAAGCAGTGGCACCAGACCTGCTTCCTGCAGGTTCCTCAAATTTGCCAGCTCAAAAATACGTAACCTCCATTCACTGCGGTTTTGCCATTGCCCATACTGCTGGGCAGTTGTTTGATATCTGGTGTAAAATTGCCGTCCCTAAGGTGGGGGGAGCTCATCTCTAGAAGGGATTAAAAGAAAAAAATTGATGGTTCTTATCAGCTGTTTGCTCAGGCTTATCACATCAATTTGCTTCGATTTTCAAACCTTTAATTAATCTGTAGGTGAGAAGTCATGTCTCCTATTGCTAGTACTTGTACAGTCTTTACCAAATAAGATGACATTTTCCATCCTTGCAGGACTTACTGTGATGCCACTCAGAATTAAAATAGCTGTGGTTTATTACTATGGTTGTATGCATGCTTCTATCTCCTTATCTTGAAAATTTTCAAAAAAAAAAAATTGAAAAAGCTTAGTCTGGACAAGTGAAAAAATAGATTTTTTTTTTCTTAAAAATTTTCACATATCAGAGAAAAAGTAGTTTAATGTTGTGGGGCAAAAAATGTTACAGTGGAAGATTTTCACCCAACTGTGCTACAAGCCCTCTCTCCTGGTTTCTCAAGTGGATACTCACAGAGGAAACAGATTGAATTTCTTTGCACTCTTCCTAAAGCTCAGATTCTCTGCTGTCAGAGGCACCGAGTTTGAACGGTGCTCTCCTAAGAAGGCCCACATCTTGATCCTGTAGCAAACCATATCTCCATCTGCATCTCAAACTCTCTCTCAGCTAAAGATCTGCACAGGCCCTCGTCCTGAAGAGCCTAAGGGACACCAGGCCAGTTTGTCAATGCCACCAGCTGAAGGATGCTGGAGTCAGGGATGGAAAGCTTCACCTCCCTTCTTCCTTCAAACCTCTCTTTGCAGAAGGGCATTCAGGTGAAGCTGTCTTTGTTTGAGTTAGGCTAATTTTAAAATGGCTTCTCTGCTATAGAAACCGGTCTTTCCTTGAATGTGGGTGAAGGCTCTGCTCAGGTGACAGTGGAAAATACTGAAGGCACACAGCGACTTACAGCAAAATGTAAGATGGAAGAAATATGGGGCAAGTTAAGAAACTTTTGGCTGGTCTGATGAGCTCTGAACCCACGTGCTTCCCCTCTCGCTTCTGTGGAGGGGAGGCACTTCCCTCTGGGCAGGGCAGCATTACCTGCTCTCAAGGGGTAAAACTGGCTGTTTGCTCGGCTTTCCCTCTCCCAGAGACCCCCTATTTGTTAAAGATGGGATAAAACCAGACTTTGGTTGAATTTCAGGATGGAAAATTAGAGATGCGTTATCAAAATATTTCTCGGTTTGTGACCCTTATAAATTGGAAGAAAATCATTTTTGACTAAAATGTTGGTCATTCAGACCTCTGCTGACAGAAGTGTTCCCTGCAGGCCAAGTGTTTTAGGAGAGATGTTCAAACAATACCTTTTTCTTCATGCAAATACCTTGGCCTCCCTCAGAAGTGCAGTCAACTTGTTAGGTATGTTATTAAAGTGGCAACATAATGGTAGAAAATTCAAGTAGGGAAAACTCAGGTCTCCATGAATAGAAATTGGGGCAGGAAGAGAGGCTTACAGAGCTCCTCCTGCAACAGGAGCCTTTGTGCATTTTTGAGATGCGAGGCAGTGGGGAAAATAAGACCCAGATGTCGGTGTCGTGATGTGGAAAAGGAACAGCCTCTGCCGGCCTCCGGTTGCTGCAAGCCCCAGCATAGCTGCCAGTGCTCCTTGGCCCCGTCGCTGCCAGTTTCGAGCAAGACAGTGCAGAGGACTGGGGGAGGCGGCGTGCAGCTGCGACCTGCTGGAGCGTGACCGCCCCGAAAGCTGCCTCGGCAGGAGAAAGGCAGCCTGTGCAGCACGGCCGGTTTCAGAGTGCGTCATGGCCCGGCGGCTGTGTGATGTGCTCTCCAGCGGGGAAGCTGTTATTGCTGGTGTGATTTCAGACACTCGCATCTGTAGTATCTCAAGAGAAAAAAAAAATAGAGCCGTGTGCTGCTCCTATAACAGGAAAGCCCCTTTCTGGGGAACAAATTCCCCTCCGGTTTGGAAAACCCCTCTTGAACCGGTGCTTCAGGTGAGCTCTTTGTATTTGATTTGAGGGACAGTTTTCTTCCACATGCGCAGGAATTGGACTGATTCAAGGTCATTGTGCATCCCAGGAGTGCACAGAAGCATAAAGGCAAAGCTCTTTACGGTGCTGCTATAATACCTGTAAGTCACAGAGGATGGTGTGTGTAGGGACAAATAGACATTTTTTACCTGCGTGTCTGCCATTTGCCACACAGGAGGCTCTCTCTTCCTGCTTCTTATTTGTTCTTTCTTATTATTGTTTGGTTTTCTGATTAAACAAAAAAAACACCTTTGTTTCTGCAGCATTACAACTCAGCCCTTCACCTTGCAGTTCCCAGCACAGGTTGGCAGAGATGCAATGTTATCGGGGTTGTTTGACAGATAGCTTGTTCCCGTTCTGTTCTCGGGGTGAAGGTCAGCCACGTTTCAATGTCTAATGATACCAGTGCTAATTGGCAGGCTCATTACAGAGGGCAAGGGGAACCAATCCCTTCCTCCCTGTTACATGTGTTGCCACAAGAGAATATGACACCAAACACCCACTGGTGGCCTGAGGCTGAAATCCAGCTGCCAGCATGACTAGAGATGGTGCGTACGGAAAAGACAATTAGCAAGGAAAGGTTTTCAGAAGGGGCTTTTCGCTAAATGAATGAAAGGTGATGAAAGCACTAGGCTCAACCTTTTGACAAGCATCCTTTTTCTTTTGTTGTACAGCGGCAGAAACAGTCCAGTTCTCCTAACTCAAATGATGAGGGACCTGCCGTTTGGGACCTGCAGTGACCAGCTGACAAGGAAAAGCTAAAATATCCAGCAGCAAGTGGAAGATCCCAGCCTTGAAAACTGCTTGCTGGGGGCTTCTCTGAAGCCTTCTGACTCAACCACTTTGGGCTAATCCCCCACAGCCGTGTCAGGGCATTAGCTTCTCCGGGTGATGGGTCACTTTCCTCTGGCATTTGGTTGGGGAGCAACATCTCCATGGA